CCTGTGGATCCTGGCTTCTGATAGAATCAGATTCCATTGGATCCACGACTGCCGGTCGGACTCTTGTACCCAGTGGACTCTGAATCACGTTGGACTCTGTTTCCGATGGGCTCTCCATTCTCAATAAACTCTGTTTCTGAGCTGATAGAGTACAATCTGTACTGACTCGGATGCCAGACGGAGCCTACAACTGATATTTTAGCTTCTGCTCATGTCAAATATGAGGTGCTACCTTTATCGCTGATGTTATAATATTCCATCTCGTTTGTGTTTAGAAAGGCGCACCAGCTCCAGCAGACAAATCCTTTTTTCCAACGTTCTTACTCAAAACAACTGTGGAAGCACTGGACAATATGTAACTTGCCATCAGTAACTAATTCCAAGGAAGCTTCTAGTAAGAAGCTTACATAGCAACGCTCAAAGCCGCCGACTCCCAATGAATGACGTGGTCAGCTGTCCGGAAGTGGCCACCGGAAGTGGGGACCGGAAGTGGCAATCGGGACGCGAGGAACAGCCGCGTGAGCGTGAGCTCGTGTATAACGATGACCTACTATGTACGCCGTACGGTCATCGCAAGCACACAATCACATCTAACACTTATGGAGAGTCTCCTGTCAAAGATCCACGCTGTGGAATTAGAAGTAGATGCTAGATCCATGGTTACGATAGACAGGCGGTGTGAACAGATCATATCAAGGATGGAAAAGTCTCCGTTTTCAACATAATCCGAATCGTTGAACGAGTGATTTGAGCCTGCAACATTCAAGATACTAAGGATTTATATCCAATGACTATTCGTTTATGTTCACCATGGTTCAGCTTCTTCTTCTTTTTTCTTTTCGTTGTTAAATTTTGATTGTTTCTAACGTCAGCATTGTAGACAGACCGCACCCGAACAGCGCTATTTTCGGCCATGAAAGAACGCTATTGTGATTATGGTGACGATATGAGACAGGAAAAATGATATCTGCGACTATTTCTGCCGTCATAAGGTCACAGCATGAGACCAGAAAATGCCACAGTGGAGAGAAATACAGAACACTGGGAGAGAGAGAGAGAGAGAGAGAGAGAGAGAGAGAGAGAGAGGGGGAGAGGGAGAGGGAGAGGGAGACGAAAGATGAGGCGTGAGCAAGCATTTTTTTCTAGTTTGGTGTGACACATAAACCGAAAGGCTTAACTTTAACCTTCTCCTAAGATTTAGAACAATTAAACCAAGGACAATAGCCGGATATATCTATCAGAATCGATAATGGCGTATCTCTCCACATAAAAAGCTATCTTCTTCGGCAAAACGCCAACGAACCCAGGGCGGTCTATAATGACAACAAAACCCCCATCCTCACCAACTCTTATCACTCCCTCACAGAACCCGTTCTTGACACTGCCTCTGACGTCACTGCGTGTCCTGATGACGTCACTGATGACGTCACAGGTCGGTATCGGACACGGGCGTCTCGTGCACTGTCAGCGGTGGTGGGACGACACCGAGCGCCTGGAGCGTCCGCGGCGCAAACAACACCGAAATATGGCACCACTGCAGTGCCATTGCAGTGCACACCGCGTGACCGGAGCGCCTGCAGACGCAAAAACGATCTCGGCGTTGGTTTACAGCGAGCAGACAGCACGGGCAGACGACGACGCCGGTGACTCGGCATCGGTGAGAAACTCACGTCCGCTCACTGAGAACTCACATAAGCTCACTGAGGAACTCACGTCCGCTCGGACTGTGTTCGAACTGCGCTCACGGGTGAAGTGAACGAATATGGAAATCTAATGCAGATTGCAGGGGAAGCTCGTCTTAAATTTGCTCGCCATTTCATGTTATTTGAACGACCTCATATGGTCTACGCCTACATTGTTTGTCGGAAAACTTCCCCGCTAAAATGTTTCTGATTGCCAGAGACATTGTGGTAGAGCCACTGTGGTCCTGTGTGTGCTCTGCTTATATTTCGGGCCAGAATCTATGCGTGGCCATGTGTGAACAGTTGGTAGCCATACTGATTGCTGACAGCTTTACCGCAGGTGTGCTCTGATATCGGGCAGATATTTCCAACTCTCTGTTCACGCAAGCGAACGCATCGAAAAGCGGACATGCGTGCCCTCGCAGTCGACGCTCTCATTACTCATAGATTCGAAAATGAAGTATTCCTTCATATTTCACTCTAGAGTGAGTCAAAGCTTAAAAATGTATTCTAGTCTATACAACAATGGCATATTGTAGAACATTTCGGTCCACGATTCACTGTAAAGTGCGTCAAGTCTCGGAGTGCAAAGATCCGCAGCACGATAGAGAATCGAAACTTGTCGTTGAGTTCCGATCCCTGCTCAAGCTAAACCAAGTCAAAGGTTGAAGATTTGCTAGAGGCTAGACATATGCAATCATCTCAAACTGGAGACGAGACTTAAAGCCATTCTCGATTTCCACTGTCCAGTTCATTCTACTTGACGGGGATGGGCAATGGCTTCTGATTGTTTCAATGGGTAGGATGTAGTTTACGTCAGGCTTGCGATAGAATGGATAAACATATCGTTTCTTACCCAGTGTGAAGCTTTTGACGGAACTCAAAGCTACCATACAATGCACAGCTCCCGGGAAAGCACAATTTCCTTGGTGCGTACTGCGCGTCATAGCTAACCACTGCTGGCAATTCACGTCTCTTTAGGCACACAAGTCGCAAATGACTTATATCGGTGGTGCAACAGTGTGTTTATTTTACATGCCCATTGTAGCAGGGCGGTAGTGTTTTACTCCTTGTGGTCCACTTAGTTTCAGTAAAATTCATGAAATTTTGCAACATCATCGCTGTTTTGCAGCGGTGCATATGACCGCAAATCAGAATCGCACGTTGGCCATAAAAAAATTACTGAAGACTTTCGATATCACAAATGCCATAATCGTTACAAAACGAGTGAAAAGCTTAAATGATGCAGGTAAAAGTATGAACTACTATCTTACCTACGTCACATCGCGAAACAGTAATAACACCAAGTGCGCAGTCCGCTGGGTAAGGGAGGAAACTCGCCATAAACTTACAACCTTATGTAACACATGCACGCTTATTTTCACTCCTACCATGAAATCTCTATTCTACCTTTCCAGGTAGCGTAACAATGCTGGTGTGCCTCTAGGCTTGAATTGAAGTTTTGCACACTAGCATTGTGTCCAGGCTATTCTTAGGTAGCTATGTAAATAAGGGAAATCTTAGGTCCGGCTATGGAAATATTATTCTAAAAAAACAGTCTGTGGAAAATAATTACTGTAGCCCCAGGCAGCTTCTAAGATTCGTTGCTGAATCCTATTGGGAATACTTTCCAGATGAATATAAATGTTGCATCACATCTATATGAATTTCAGATAGGGAACCAGCTTCAACAGCGTCACACATGACGTAAGCATGGAATGGATAGACTATTACGCTAGTTTCAGTGAATAATAACAGGCATTGACGCTGATTCCAGAGAACTGATTAATATTGCCAAATAAAACAGGTACTGCAGTAACTGGTCACAGGAGTTCCAAGTCTTATATCATCGATGAAAACGAATATATTAGCTGAAAACATGTAACTTGTATGTGCTCTGATATTTTAGATTTACAGTGAGCTTTAATATCTTTTATATTCATCAAAACTCAAACATTTGAAGCATTCAAGCTATCGAAACATAATATAATCACGCCAAAAGGCGGGACGCTTTGCAGGCGGTTGTCCCAGGAAGGCGGTTGTCTGGTATGACACAGGTCTTTTGGAAAGGCCACTACCGTCCGAACTTCATGATGTCTAGTGGCCACTACAGCTCTGCAATTCATACCGCTCGGCGCTTGCGCATACCATCTCATTCTTCATGGCTACTTCCCCTCCCCCTCCCCTCCAAAAAAACTAATTCTCCGATCTAGGCAAGAGTCGTTTCTCCAGTGCTATACACAAATGATAATGGCTGAGCTCGGAAAATGGCATTGGCATCTGTGAGCGACAAGGGACTTACGCACGCAAAAACTGCCTTCAAACAAAAATATGTTCAGCGTCTTTAGTCTGCACGTTTCACCCAATCCATACAAAATCCACTTTTCAACTTCGGGGGTTGTTTTGTCAGTAATGCGTGAAATGACCAGTGACCATTTCCAGTTTGAGTCTAAAATCACAATAAATTGTGATCCAATTTGACATTGCCATATTCAATCTCAATTTACGTCCACCCTAATCTCGTTCGTTCTCTAGGCTCGACCGTCGGCCCATGGTCGACCGTCGCCTCACCACCTGGGCTGGGCCTCGTATCATAAAGCGAGTCTGTAACTTACGCCGGTTTTTGGTATTGTATTGCAAGTGCATGTGAAGCGATGACGATAGCTTGAATCGTTTAATTTATTTATCTTGCAAGCAAGAACAAAAGGGAGAAGGGGAAATAAATTTATCGCTTCACATGCTCTTGCAATACAAGCCCAAAAACTGGCGTAAGTTACGGACTCGCTTTAAGAAACGAGGTCCTGGCCTCGCAAACTCCACCCATGGCCCAAATCCCTCCCTACCTCCCTACCCCACTACCTGGTCCCATTTACCCTCCGCAAACACGTTCAACCCTTCCCGAGCGAACCCGTCACGTAAACATCTCCCGCGAACACAGTTCGTGGCCTCCGGTGTACCGATCTCGAGCTCTCCCCGGCGGCTCCGAGACTCGCTTTGTCCGCCCGCCGCCGCGCCGCCCGCGCGGGTCGCGGCGGCGGCGGCGGCGGCGGCGGTGCGTGGCTGGAGGCGCATCGGCGGCGGCGGCGGCGGCGGCGGGGGAGGGAGAGAGGGAGGGAGGAGGAGAGAGGGGGTGGTGTCAACGACCGACTGATAATGCCGCAGGCAAAATACGCCTCACGCAGTACGCACACACGTGGGGGACACGCATACAAGTGGCGGAAGTGTGCGTGGGTCGGGTGGGTAGGTGGGGCTGACGCGATAGGGGCCATAACGCTGGTCAGGTTGGTGGGTATGTGGGTGACATCCCCCAAAACTCACCTTTCGCAGACCGCTGGGGCGACTTGGATCGTCTCTCTCCACACTTTTCGTCGGTTTCCCGCTCGTTTCGTTTCGGCTGGACGGTCGCACCGTCTCGAGTTCGGCTCACCACATTATCACAGTAGGGCCTGAATAGCGGCCGCGGCGGCGGCGGCCCGCCGTTTGCCGACACACCGCTTGACACACGTTCACTGCAGACGTTCGGCGATCCTCGCACTGCGTCGGGTGTCACTCCCGACGGTAGCACACTCTTCTCTGTCCTCACAGTCGCCCCGCGATCGCCGTGCAATTTCGCGTCGCTCTCCGCACGCGTCCGCAGCACCACGTCGGGTTTCTCGGCCCCGTGCGACTGCCGGCGTACGGCCGGGGGCGAGCGGGCGGCGGCAGACAGGCTCCGCCCCGCGCCGTCGGCCGGCGCAGGTGATTGGCTGCCGTCCGCGGTGGGCGGGGCGTGCCGGCCGGCCGGGCTGGCCAGGCTGCGGTCCGAACTCGGGTGCCCTGGAAGAGAACACGCGGGTTGTAATCGCGACCCGTGCTGTAAAATTATACGGCCAGTCGCGCCGCGCGTGGTGGGTTGGCCGACGCAGCTCTGGTTCAAGACAGGTCAGGGTGCGGGTTCCAGACCAGCTGATGGCCAAAAGATTGCACCAGTCGACAGTAATGGCCGCAAAAACTGCGTCAGCGTCGTCACGACATCTGGACATGGGTTTGCAGTCGGCTGTGTGCGTTAAATGAATGAGCGGCCTGGATCATGACGTGCGCTTGTCACACGACGGTGACGTTCAATCAGCGCGAACGGAACAGTTTGAGTGATTTCTATGGTTTGCTGTTCAGATTTCCGTCGGGTTGTCAGTTAGGTATTGCCACTTCGGTTTTCATGTTGGCCTAGCGTTTCCGCCAAAAATAAGCGGGAATGGAGAATTTCTATAATTTCACCGTTAACCCACCAAACAAGCCTCTACCGTTTTAACACCACGATCGCATTAATATAGCCGTAAATAACGTAGCAACTAGCCAGAGCATTCCGCCCATCAGGCAAGCTGAGTCAAACTGGGCTATGTGGGTTTATGTTTTTACTCACAAAGATGTCTTCCATTTAAGCCGTTTAATTTTCTTGAGAAGGCGTTGAAAATATCAAACCCACATACTAGGGTCTACAGGATTCTTCCCACGGCATGGTAAAGTGACTTGTTGACAGACATTACCATGATAATGCAAAGATCAATGTGAAAAGTGTTGCTGATTCAGACGCGTATCCCCATTGCATCCTTACTCTGAGAGCCGACTCCATGATAGCCCGATCTAATCGTGTTCGTGTCACGATTCCCAATTGCTTTCCAGATTCGCGAGCTAACGATACACCTTACCTACTCGCATCCTCCTTTTTAAATTTTATCACAGCACATTCATTGATCCGTGGCGTCAAGTGTCAAGCATCATTGGAATTTCAGCGTCATTGCTGTTAGTGCAGCTATTGAAAATGCAATGACAACGCTAGCAATAGCTTAACAACCATGATGATTTCTTATTTTAATGCTTCCGAAGTTATCGGCGCCGCTAAACAATAATCAAGATTTTCCTTCCGAACTGAGTCACGGTGTCAACTTCCGCACCAGACAAATACAAATCACTATCCACTATCCATTGCTAAATGAACAGTATAAAACTGCGCTTGAAAACATAGGTTTCTACCCAAACATCCACCAAAGCAACGAACAATAACATAAGTCGCCCCTCCAGCGTAACATATTCCATTAAACTATGGGACTACAGACATATGGACGCAGACAAACTGACACGACTTTTGATGGACACTGACTGGGACAGACTTTTGGACTGTGACTTGGACGACGCAGCATATAACTTGACTGACGCTCTATTAACTGCAGCCAAAGCAGCCATTCCAAGTCGGAAAATTACAATAAAATCTCACGACAAACCATGGCTTACCATTGAACTTAAACGAGAAATACGCAAGCGGAATAGGCTTTTCAACATAGCAAAAAGACGTAACACGGACGATGACTGGGAACGATGGAGACGACAGCGAAACAAGACCACAGAGACAAACCAAAGACTTAAAAATAGACACATACAAAACCAAATTGACAAACTTCTTGACCATAAAAAGGACCCACGATCATATTACAAAATTTTAAACAGTATTATCGGAAAAAGGACTCATCGTAGCATGCCACCGCTTATAAATCAAGACGGCATACCAATCTCAGACGACTTTGACAAAGCGACAATCTTAAATGACCACTTTGCATCCCAGACTCGACTAGACACACACAACTTGCAAATGCCTGAAATCCCTATTCCTGTTCCCCCTATTCCTCCGCTAACGGATGTCCAAGTCACCGAGCCCGAAGTTCTCAAAATTCTAAATTCCTTAGACATCAACAAGGCAACAGGCCCGGACAAAATTCCTAACAAATTATTAAAAATGTGTGCACTTTTACTTGCTGAACCTCTGTCCAAACTCTTTAACAAATCACTTCAACTAGGAAGGTTCCCCTCACTTTGGAAAAAAGCCTGTGTCACTCCAATCTTCAAGCAAAAGGGATCTAGCTCAGATCCAACAAACTATCGTCCTATTAGTCTTCTTCCCAATCTCTCTAAAATTCTCGAAAAAATCCTTTTTTCCAAGATATATTCTCATTTGAATGGAAACAACTTACTTTCAGAAAAACAAAGTGGATATCGTCCGGGCCATAGTACACAAATTCAGCTCTTGTATCTAACTCACCAGCTATACTCTGCTCTAAACAAAAGTCAAAACTTTACAGCTATCTATCTTGACATCTCGAAATATTTTGATAAAATTTGGCATGATGGACTCCTTTTAAAATGCAAAATCGAGTGCAATATTTCCGGTTCTCTGCTAGCCTGGCTTAACTCTTACCTTACAGATCGCGAACAGGTTGTTCGTGTTGGAAACAGTCTATCATCATCCCAAAAAATACTATCCGGTTGCCCCCAGGGCTCGGTGCTTGGACCTCTTCTGGCCTTAATTTACCTCAACGATCTATCAAACAAGACCAAAAATGACGCTCTCTTTTACGCTGACGACACTTCACTTTACTCTTCCCATCCCCACGACAGTCAGGATCATAGACGCTCCTTGCAGAACGACCTGGACGAGATTAAACGATATGGGACTGACTGGGCCATCACCTTCAACGCTAAAAAGACACTACAACAGACATTTACAAACCGACGAGACAGCTGTCCTCCAGCACTCACATTTGACGGGCAGGACATACCGACCGTGACAAGTCATAAACATCTCGGACTGACACTCTCGACGGACCTTCACTTTCGCGCACACATCAATAACGTCATTCGGACAATTAACATTCTCCTAGGACCGATATATCCCGTGGCTAAGCTTCTTCCTAGACCAGTCTTGAACAACATTTACTCTACCTATATAACACCTCATTTCGACTATTGTGATATTGTTTACGACGGACATTTGACATCAACTGACGCCATCCGACTCCAGACGCTTCAGAACCGCTGTGCCAGACTTGTAACAGGGACGCTTTATCGAACACCAACTACCGCATTACTTACCGAACTAGGATGGGAACGACTTGAGACAAGACGATTAATTCATAAGCTTCTATTCTTTCACAGACTTTACTTCAATCATCCTCCTCTCCCTTCATACATTAAAGACATATTGACAGAAACCAGACAAGACGCCACGGGACTTAGACTTCGCAATGCTCAATCTCTTACTTTCCCCCCTACCAATCTCACTTCTTTCTATAGAGCCTTTTTTCCTTCGACAATAAGACTCTGGAATACTCTCCCAGACACATTGCGTAACACCTCATCCCGCTCCGCTTTTGCTCGTCAAGTCTGGCAGCGATTTGGGGCACCAGAGCCACCCACTTTCTTTTCTTTCGGCAACAAAACGCGTAACACACTACACACACGATTGAGAGTGGGCATGACGACTCTCAAGGCACACCTGTTCAATATACAACACCCCAACACACCCAGCCCAGTATGTGCTTGCGGTTATCACGATGAGAACACAACTCACTTCATACTCTGGTGCCCACTTTACCATACACAAAGAGTAAAACTTATAAATGCAGTTCGAATCATCACTCCCAATTTTGACAATTTCTCAGCGAAATTAAAACTTGATACCCTTCTCTTTGCAAAAGACTTAAACAAGCATCAAGGCACACAAATCACCCATCACCTTCAGACATTTATTGTAGAGACAAATCGGTTTACCAATACAACATAACTGTTTAGTTAGTGCATTTAAGTACCATTGATATTAATGCAACACACTGCTTACATAACACTACACTACATTACAAAACACAAAACATGACACTATGACGCAAGCTGGCCCGATTGGAGTCGTCCGTCGCCTGGGGCCGGGTACTGTCTGCTTTTTTGGCTCGGCGGGTTTCGGGCGGGGTCGACGCTTTCTGATACTTTGGTTTGGTCATGTGTTCTTTGTTTAACTTAATTGGAGAGGCGCCTTTGATTTAAGCTTTTTGCTTTTGCGCCAATCCTCTATTGTTTTGTTCGTTGTTCTTGTTTACATATGGAAAAAATACAATGAACTGAACTGAACTGAACTGAACAATGACTTCGAGTTCCACGGCCGCTAAATTCGGCGGCACACGGACTTAACCCTATTAGTGGCAGGCTCCTGGCTACCCCCTATTAGTGGCAGGGGGGGGGCTGTTTACGACCCCCCCCCCCCTTGATATCTCGAGATCTAACGGGCCGATTTTCAAAATTCAAACGGCATTCGATTTCGCTCAACGTGATCTACATTTCTAAAAAATAAAAATTAAAAAAATGTCAATAGGGGGTAGAGGGGGGTAAAAACGGGCAAATTGCAGATACATTTTAGACTGTTTATCACGGCCAGGTTTCTGAACCAATCTTAACCCTCGCCCGCACATGGGGGGGGGGTTGCCACCCCCCCCCCAGGCAGTCTTTTTGCTCTGCACTCCACATTTTTAGAGCTAGAAGGCTGATTTTTCGTATAGCTGCTCGTCTATCCTTTCTTGATGTCCACTGAAAATTTCAAGTTTCTGTGATTTTTGGTTTTGGAGATATGACCTTGTTTTTCAGGTCATGTCATGACCCAAATGGCCAATTCTCAACATCTTGCGTTTGCCATGGGCCTTGTGAGCTTTTGACACCCTGATTTCGGCCTATTTTGCCAGTCTTACCTCCCACCTATCATGGAACATGTTGTTCGACGATGTACAGGGGTCAAGGTCAGGGTCAAGGTCAACCTAGGTCATCTAAGATAATTGCGTTTTAGGCAAGCTGAATTTACTTTTTGTGAAGTTTTTTGACTGCATTTTTGGTAAAAGCTTCTCAGATCATGATTTCATGTGATATGGACCCAAAAACAATCGGTGCACACATCAGTATACACACAGACACACACAGACATACAAACACATATAATTGACCTTGACCTAACTTGACCTGAAATGACCTCAGCAGCAAAATTCTGGTCGGATAGTGTGACAAAGAGGTTCTAGCTGGCTTGGCACCAGAAAACAGCATCGTCTTCGGTATTTGATAAGCAGCGCACTTGATATCCAACGGTGACCCAAAACAGCAACATTTTTTAGTTTGACCTGACCTGGAAGGTCAATGACTGACCTGAGAAGGTAAAACTGGGTATCATTGGATTCGTCTCTTCCCAAAGAATCTTTTTGGTCTTTACTGCTAAGCTCTATCTCCAACAGGAACGAAATGGCGCGGGGGGGTGGCAACCCCCCCCCCCATGTGCGTTCTAGGATGGGAAAATGGCATGTGCGGGCGAAGGTTAACGCAACTTTTGCCGATCGATAGAGAGTGAACCAGAAATTCACATGGATCCTAAAAATATGCATTTTCAAACATCATAGGCGGATACAGATCATTGGGATTGGGGGTACACAAAAAGTATAGTAAATAAGGTTTTTGTTGGTACTGTTTCTAAAAATGGTGGCAATGGTCTTGTTATGTTACAATTTTCTTATGAGAGAACGATTACAATTGTATTGGTCATGCATATAGGCGGTGTCAGGGCACCTATGTTGGGAGGTAAAACATAACCCCCCTTTTTGGACGCCTGGATCCGCCTATTATAGCAAAAACGTGTCAAAAGAGGATGCACAATAACTTTGTATATGTTATCACATGATACCTTTCATTTACTGTTCGTAAAACTGGTGCATACAGTTATAATACATCAGCATCGTGATCTTCGCCCAAATGACTCGCTTCACGAATAGGACCCCCCAATTCCCAGTGCTCTGGAGCCGCCCCTGGTAAAGTTATGAACTTGAAATTTTCAGGGAATGTGCCCAATTTAGTTTTAGGAAAAGTCAGAAAATTTCAGCATCGTAGCTTCAGCGGTTTCGGAGATATTCCCGAAAAACCTGAGGGGTGGATAAAAACAACCCCCCCTGCCACTAATAGGGTTAATAGTTATTGCTAAGTGCCAAAGCGTACATTTCAAATTTTTTTAATCAAAACAAGTTTTTAACACAAAAATAAAACCCTACTTTAGACAGAGAAGCGGCAGTGCACTAACGACATTATTATTTGGTCCGCATGCTAATTGTGGATGTAGCAATCGTCTCAGTAAGCAAACAGCAAAGGGGCTGGGCCTCCCAACTAAAAAGAAAACTCACAAAAACTCAGGAATTGTTTGTTTTCAAAAAGCCATCTTTTACTGGGACCATCTTTTCGTGTTCTTCTTTTTATGAGGACCGAGAAACTTAGTCACGAACACTCCTTTAGATTCGAGGCCTCATCAGCCCATTTCAGTTTCTTAGACGATGCTAAGTTGCTATTGATGTGGCAAACGCTGCACTGAGTGATGGTGCAACACTGAAGTTTAATTCCCGCGTTTTAGGAGAGGTGCACCTGCCTAATACACGTGATAAACTCCCTTCAACTCCACATACGGTGCAGGTGAAACACTTAATGAACAAATGGAAATAATGATGCAGTGCAAATGCTAAATTGAATTATTGAAGAGCCATTTAGAGCCAACAATGTGTGCGGTTGTTCACCATTGTAATAAAAAAGAAATAATAATTACGCATGTGTCAATGTTTAATACAAAACTGCAGGTAGATTGAAAGCTTGGTGCATTCGTGTGTACCTATCATTGTGGGTTTGGCTTTGGGTTTGTCGGTGCTACTTATAATTTGTGAAATTGGCTGCATTTAGCCCAAGTTGTCTAATCAAACTAAGAATCGACCAAATGAAGCCGAGACTTATAAATAAAGGCCGCGGTGGGACGCACGTGAGTTCCCGGTGCACGTGCGGCGGTGGAGGGGTTTCGCACGTGCCCACATGCCACGTGACACGTGGTGGTGGTGAACGATGCGTCACAAGGCTTCATCCGCGACGGAAACTTATCGGAGAGGAAGGACATAATAGACAAGGAAACGAGACGCCCAGTCAGGGTGACCCCTCTCCCCCCCCCCTCCTCCAGGTCACTCATAATGTTTCCGTCATAATATAACGCCACCACCACTTCCCGGCAATCAGCTGATTGCTGCCGGCAGTCAGCTGATTGGTGCCGGAAGTGTCGCTCAGCTGACTGAAGTCTGAGAGGTGTTTTATGAATTATGAATTGACACGGAACTGCCGACGACTCGGTGCAGTGAGGCTCGGGTCTGCCGAGGGATAACTGAGACGCACTCTAACCAGAGCTGTGCCATGATTTTGATATGAGATCCATGATCCATCGTGTTTTATTTGATACTTTAATATTTGTAAGCGCGGTTCTCGACAACCTCAAGATCAAGGTGCATGTTTAATATTTCCTACAGGGGCGCGGGAACTACTTTCCGACTGGGGGGGCACACACCATAATAGAGATTAAAGGGACCCTCCCACCTTCAAAAAAGTTTATGAATTGGCATGAAAGTGATGTCGCTCGGTTCAGAAAGAGCGAAAACGAATATCTACCAAATTTCACCGAAAAATATTCACCGGTTTTCAAGATATTAGACTTTTACTTTTGTTTAATTTTTTGGGATCTCCGCTGTTTCTAGCGACTTTATTTTAGAAGTGCGGCGTTTGCGGCAGATGTTGCGCGCAAATAGCATATACCACCGCGTGCTACAAAACGTTTTAGTCAAACATTTAAAAATCGTTAGATATCTGCGCTGACGTCACACATTCAGAGGGGTATTCCTAAGCATTAGCCCCTCTGAATCAAAATGCTGCAATTTTGAAATTCAATATTTCTGATTTAAGGCATTTCTCGATGTTGTAAGTGCCGAAACCGGTAATTGTGAGCCAGGGACCCCATTTTGGCTATCTCAACTCAAATCTAATGTTAAGATGGGAGGGTCCCTTTAACCTAGGGTACCCCCAAATCTAGTTTTCTCACCGGTTTTAGGCCACTTATTTTTCACCCCTCGGCCTTTTTAACAAAAAAAGAAAACATTTGCAAACAAAGTGTGGTATTCCGTCTCAAAGCTGTGGGGGCACCGCCCCCACGGCCCCAGAGTTGGGGGGGGCAAGCTGCCCCCACTGCCCCCCCCCCCCGGCTCCCGCGCCTATGATTTCCTATGTTAAATATTTCAATGCATGTGGTGGCGTCTGCTTGACTATAGACGTTTATCCGGGAACTATTAGATAGAAACGTAAGACGGAAGACGGAAGTTAAGCAATGCACCGCATGATATAAATGGGAAAGGCAATGGGAACGTGTTGTTTTTATATTAAAATTGGTTACACATGTGTTTCGGGAATAATCCCTTGGTCACACCATATAAAAATAACTACCTATATCGAAATACAATCGAGGTCGAACGGGGTCGAATGGGGACGTTCACAGACACTCACAGATTAGCAATTCTATACATGACTGAAAACGTTACACTGCTTTTCGCCCGGAACCCCTACTTCCTGAAATCATTTTTCAAAATTAATTGAGCAGTGTGCTTGCTGAGTTTTACTTTACCCGAATTCCCATTGAAATTACTAATCGTAGAAATAAACGCTGCTTCCACCGCCTGTCGGTTACGCTTATTTAATCCCACGCATAGGTTTGACATCGCCGACCAGTTTGGCAAATGCCCCGCGTCATCCACATGCTGCACTATGGCGTTAGATTCTTGGTGATTCCGCAAATCTCTTTTGTGTTCCTCTACCCGTTTAGCTGCACCCCTGTATGTTTCCCCTATGTAGCTTTTTTCACAAACGCCACATGGAATTTTATAAACCACACTGTTTTGGTTGCTTGCTTTCTTCTTGCGCCGTAAAATATCCTTAATTGTTGAACCCGATGGAGATGTAATGTTTAAGGCTCCCCTGGTAAAGCTTGTGATCACTTCAGATTGTTCTGACAGAGGTACTGATATATATTCCTTTCTTTTCGTGGCATTTGAATTGGAGGATCTTGAGCGGATCTTTATAGCTTTCTTTTCTAGCTGAAGGAGAAGACCCAAAGGGTAGCTGAGTTTGGTAAAAGTTGTCCTAATGTACTCTAGCTCGTTCTGTAAATATTCCTTTGAACAGATAAAATCCCAAAACGACTCCAGTCTTCGTTCTTTGACTGTGCGACGAATAAAAATGGATAAAGTCATTCTTGTTGGTCGGTTTCCGGTATACGGAAAACATCAGTCTTGATTCTCGGTTCCAAATCAGTGTGTCTAGGAAAGGGAGCTTGCCATCTTGTTCCTGTTCGCAGGTGAACTGTATTTTCGGGTGCACGTCGTTGAGCTTTCGAAGAACACTGTCTAAATCTTGTTGCTTGTAACCAATTTTAATATAAAAACAACACGTTCCCATTGCCTTTCCCATTTATATCAATACGTCTATGTAATAATAATAAAAATGCACCGCATCTTACTTATCATAGGATGTCATCCCTAAATGCTGTACGTGATTCAAGACGAAGAGCTGTAAGATAATCTCATTAGAAGGCATTTCATTGGGTAAAACCCACATCTATGTACATTACGATTCTGACACTGCAAGTTGAGAGTTGTCTCAGCGACACAGGAATTTTTTCACAAAGAATGTGGTCAACTTGCAAATAAATGTAAAATGTATAGTACTGTGGACAGAATGCTGAGGTATATGATTTATCACACGCATAATGCATATTTTGGCTAAGTTCGGGTCGCACACGGCACATACTTCAACAAGCAAAACTAAGCACGATTGAACCGATGGATAATTGCACTGACCTGCTAGCCGGCCGCCGGGGGTGACCGGTGACCTTTCTACGGTCACTGATGACGTCATACGCGGCGACATGTGACCCGAAAAGGTCAGACCTGTCGGGAAATAGAAAACAGGGAATCAGCGAGTTTGATGGGTTCAATGACATAGAACAGCAGTCGACGAGTTTACATCGGTCAGTTACATGACAAATAGCTAGGTAAGTAAAAAATGCGAAAATGCTGGAAATGAGATTGGAATTACAGGATAAATGAAATGAATGTTAGCGTCAATGGTTGTGGTTTACAGACTCAGATAAAGAAGCTATAGAACAGCTATACTTCTGTCTATCATTTCCTAGAAATAGTTCCGGGAGCGCAGAAACATCTCCACTTGCCAGTGAGGGTTTGTTGTAATGTCGCTGAATCCTTTTCCCGCCCCTTGTCTCGGTAAGCAAATTCCAAAAGGTAAGCAGAAATTAGAGTCGACACTTAAGCGTCACCACATACCCACAGGCTCAGCCGGCTGCTGGCATCGTTTATCAAATGCTTCCGCTGACCGTATCGGGCGTACATAGGTCAGGCTGCAATGTGTCAGCTCAGACCGCGATATTGTGACTCAGAACTGCAGCCATTCAGCACATTCTAAAGTCGGGCTGTATTTTAAGTCTCTCTGGAGAAGAACTGCGATGATTTAAAGTCATCTAGACAAAAACAGCGACATTTCAGCACCTTTCAAGCAGTGGAAGAGACATTTAAACAAAGTTCCAAGTGAGGACGCAAAATTGCAAATATCTTTGAAGTAGGGCTGCAATAGTTCAGGATTCTTCTCCCGCCCCTCAATGTCATTAGCTGTTGATCATCTGACGTTCCTAACACCAGTGTGGTGAGGTTTAATAGATCCCAAACGGTCTTCTTATTGGGTCTCGAGCCTAGCTAACACAGACTCAATGTTCCTCAATATCAATGTTTCAAGAGTCACTGCAGTTTGAAAATGCAGCCCATGACGCCGCTTGACTTATCTGAACCAAGCCTAACAGCATTGTTTGCAGTGATCTTGTACACTGATAGGGGAGTCCCAAAAGTACTCGAGGCTTTTCTGAGGAGCTCTATAATCCTAACCCAATAAGTACACCCGACTAATGGGAGTACTAAGTTCAAAGTGCGCTGTGCTTCAATCATTTGGTTTACCTATGGGTCGAACAGCAGAGGTTTACGTACCGCGCAACAAATACCGTCCCATTCATTGTTGCTTACGTTCTGTGCAGATGCCCATTTATAAGTGTGGCTAACCTTTCATAATGGTCTACCTGTGGGCCTGTGGACGCATCAGAGATAGTAGCAGGGATACATCAATGGTGATGGGTGCATTACGAAGTATGTAGAACACACTGATATATAAATCACGTACCGTATGTACGTATTTCATTAAGACCTAGCAAAAGGCCGCAGTTGGGGCAGTAAATTACGCCCCGTATGTATAGTGTAAAACGTGGTTAAACGTAAAAGGTTGACTTCCAAATGCGTAAATTACGTACCATGCAGCAGCGGGGTCCAGCCGTGGGCCGGTGGCGGCGGTCGACAGGGCGAGGCGGCCCCCTGAAGGGGCACCGCCGCCGCCGCCGGCACGCTTATGGAGAGCTCTGAAACCGAGAAATACGCACCGTCAGGGACACATCCAGGCCTGTTAGACGATATTTAAATTCATGTTGCGCCGATTTTCATAATTCATATTATGAAGTCTCCTTTGTCAACATCAAAGCTTACAGTCCAAAGCAAGCCAATATGTGGTTTCTCGTGCGGAAGATAGGTATGGACGGCATCGTGTTCAAAGAAGATCTGAAGTAGTGGCAAACTACAAACACAAGTTCACATCGACTTCCTATCGTTTACAAACTAAGCCAGTCAGTTGCTGCACGTGACTTCCACAAAACGTTTGCAAACAGTTGTAAGCTGGTCACGTGATCAAAGTTCTGTTCTCGTAGAAGCACGTGAGCTTCAGCTTCTTAGCAAAGTGACGCAACTTCGATGCCAAGGACCCAGTAAATTACTTAGACGATCTACGACTGTCTTCCGTATGCTTGTTCTGAATGACGAACCGCAGTGGAACAGGCCCTTCGATGCGATCTCCGTAATGCCTAATGCCTATTTTGGTTCGGATTGGAAGATTGGGGGACTTTGCTCTGAGCTTGGGTCAGTTTCGTGGCATACTCAGAAGTCAGAGGACTTGGAAGAACTGGTGAAATTATCGCGATTCATTCTCTTCAATTCGTACTGATGTTTTCTTCTCTTTTGGAAACTTATACCTCCACATGAGACTTCCCGTCACGTTCTTCCCTATCTCACGTGACCCCATACCTCGTGTTAGATATCGTATCACGTGACTGATGTGGTGGTGGCGGAAACTCATCGATCTCTCAGAGCTAATACCATGCTAATACACACCAAAGGGGAGTAACCCCAGTGTGTGCCGTGCTGTACAGACTGCAGAGGCAGGGGTTGGGGACTTCTTGCGTGCCACCGACGTCGGTAGCGGAAGACCACATCTGTGATCGGCGCGAGGAAAACTGAACGGAAAAAAGGAAAACGGAGCGCAGGTGTCTTTGAGGGCCGAGCGGAATAATAAAGTGGAAGAAAGGGCGACTTCGAAATGGCGCAAACAGGCTCTGATAGGCAGTGGCGCGGGAACCGGGGGGGCTAGGGGGGGCTGAGCCCCCCCAGCTTTTCGGCTGGGGGGGCTCGTAATGTATTTGAGCCCCCCCCCCCCCCCCCCCAGCTGGAGGAATCGAAATCGGAAATCTACCAACATAATTTCATAGATTCATACATAGGCGTGGGAACCGGGGGAGGGGGCAGTGGGGGAAGCTTGCCCCCACAACTCTGCGGCCGTGGGGGCGGTGCCCCACAACGTTTCATGAGGCCAGGAACCGTCGGGCAGCTTGTCCTCCCCAAATTAGGGGTTGTGGGTCACAAAGGAAGAAAGCATGTAAGTGAAAAATCCACCTATTTCACTGGCTCGGCAACTCATTTGGCAGATAAAAACCTTTACTCCAGGTTGCCAAAACGGTAGTTTCTTCACTCAGCTGAGACGGAATACCTCACTTTTTGAAAATATTTTCGTTTTTTTTTTGTTGAAAAGGCCAAAGTCTGAAAAATAAGTGGCCTAAAACCGGTGAGAAAACTAGATTTGGGGGTACCCTAGGTTGATTTCTATTATGGTTCAGCCCCCCCAGTCTGGAAGAAGTTCCCGCGCCCGGCGCCACTGCTGATAGGACCACTCCGGGGCACGTTGGATGAGGGCGATGTAAATCAAGACTGGCAATGCAATAAATACGACGCACCGAGAACCCTTTTAGATTCACAATAGATTTCTTCATGGGCGTAGGAACCTCAAGAAAAGTGTGCGTGTGTGTGTGTGGTGGGGGGCAGTGAAATTTCAATGTCACTTTGTGGGAGCCCCATTACCCCTTGGCCCCCCGGCTCCCTGTTCCTGCCCCTATGGATTTTTTTTTTTGACGAGCTTAATAATTTGGCCACGAGCTGGTCGCTCCTATATATGCGAAAATTTTGTAGGTTTTTATATAATACGTTTAATGATATGAAATGATTTGAATGCCACTCATTCAGATGCGTCGCAAAACAGGGTCGTTTAAAGACACCATCATCATTTATAAGTCATTAGCAGCCAAAATATAATTAAACACGGCAACCATTCCGAGTGCTGATAAATTAGGACACAGATTACCGGGACAAATATGAGCCTTACATTAAAACCACCAGTCCCATTGGCCGTTTATCATGCAGCCTGAGCTGTGTCCCAACATCAAGCGCGCTTAACCTTGGCTCCTTAGCTTATTTCATACAAAGTTCCAGTTTTTAAACATTGCAGAATTATCCTTTCTGGGATTCAAATAACAACAAAAAAGACGATAACTTGGGAATAACGGCACAAACAATTCACAAATCACGGTCACGTCAGTGCATTATATTGTTTCATTTAGTCTTTAAGCTGAAGGCCGGTATGATACCTAGCTAGGCGTAGCATTTCTTTAAAGGTTAATGGTAAATCCATTCGTTATCATAAGCCTTGTCAAATCTCGCCCAAAACCCTTCCCCGGTAAATCTGCAGCGCCAGTCTGCAGAGACCGCCCTGTCCTCTGACGGCCGGTTTGCGAAATAGTAGTATCTAAACTCGCCGGGAGATGTCCCTGCTATCGGTACCGGCAGCGCTCCCCTATCACGTCCGCGGCAAAGCGCTCAGCCGGAAGTCCCGAAATCGCCGACTTACAACGTTTAAACAAAAGACATCGGACAAATAAAGAATCATAAGATTCAGGATTCTTCTATTGTGATAAGCTGATCGACTTAAAAAGAGAAAAGTAGAGCTAATGTTAAATGTCATGACAAATCAAAATCGGGGAGCGAGACAAATGCCTATGCCCTATTCACCTACACCAAGGAGTGATGCCTTATTTATCGTTACACATATTAAATATTGTCGTCATCCAACTACATCTGAACTTCTGAAGTGATTTTATCCTCCTTATCCATCATACGGCCAGCCCGTCATCATCCTTAACCCCGCTGAACTGTTCCTAAATCCCGTTTGAATTTGTGAGTAGATCACTCAACATAGCCCTTCCCGGGTGACTGTTTGAACGTCTTGGTGACCTATCCCCCGGGACACTTCCGGTCCAGTGAGACGAACTTAGCTACTGCGACGCACCAGCCGTGTAACTAAATGGCTGGTGTAACTAAACATGTAACTACTATGCGTTTCAGACCCTGTGGAACAGTCCTTTTCGGCTATTTCTCGTTGCATATGCGTTTGATTTTAACCAAACTTTGGCATTGGTAGTTTGAAATCCCTACCTAATTTTTATCAATATGATCTATTAACGAAAAATGAAAAATAAGGGCACTTGTCATTGACTGATAATGTTAAGGTCGTCAGAGCCCTGCTTAGAGGCTGACACAGGCTGGGCGCTGTCTCCCCTCTGATTGGTCGAGACGCACTAGCACACTGCGGCTTGGCTCCGCCCACTTGCGGTCCAGCCTCGGGTCATGTCGGCGGCAGTCGCAGTCCGACCGGCCGGCGTGCGGGCCGCGCGCGCAGCGCAGCGGAGTGGAGCACTACTATGGACGTCAAACCCCTTGAGACCCCACTTTTTTGCGATAATTTTCAAATGCGTCAACTCTCGTTGACAATATTCTGGCAATGTGTGTTTCAGAATCTGCCGAAACTTTTATTACTAAGGTATTTTGACGCCAAACGATTATGAAAGGTACTTCTCATTCACTCGTAATGCTAAGGTCAATTCAGGCCCGGGCAGAGGCTTGCGCTCGGCCGCACTCGAGCCCCGCCACCAGCGCCATCTGCTCTTAATGTCATCTACCAGCGCCCGCTACCGCTACCAGCTACCGCCCACCATCAAGCCTGAACGGAGCGAGAGTCGCGAGTGACCGGTCGCCGGGCAAGGAGCGCCGGAGGGGTAGGGCGGAGCTTAGCGCTGACGTCATTACGTTGCTCCACCCCATGAGCGCGTAGCCTCTACCCAAACAGCAGATTCGTTCCGTAAAATTTAACATTACGAGTGAATGAGAAGTACCTTTCATAATCCTTTGGCGTCAAAATACCTTAGTAATAAAAGTTTCGGCAGGTTCTGAAACACACATTGCCAGAATATTGTCAACGAGAGTTGACGCATTTAAAAATTATCGCAAAAAAGTGGGGTCTCAAGGGGTTTGACGTCCATAGTAGTTTGCATGTCATGAACTTTTAATAAGTTGTTCTACGACAAATAAGAACGGAGGAAGAAAGAGAAAGGAAGAGGAGACAAGGTGACAATGAGACGAACAGTAAACGTTGGCTAGTGGACAACAAACAATATGCATATAGCCGCTAGAGCAGAGACAGGAGACAAAGACGGTAGGCGAAAGACAGACCACAGACAAAAAGATGGTAGACCAGAGACAAGTGACGAAGATAGAGATTAGGCTATAGACGAGAGACAATATACTATAAACGTATATACGAGAGACTGACAAGGGCGAGTGAAGGATGGGAGATCATTAACTCTCGATATTGCAGATCTACATTTTCAGATTGAGTCATCCTATATCTTTCCCTGTTTTATTGTTTTTCGGGCCTAAGATCTATCAACAACATTCTGAAAGCATTATGGAAATATCATGGAAAGATTTACCTATTATTTTCACCCTCCCCCCAAAAAAATTATTCTTTTAAACAAAAAAAAAAAACGAAATACCTAGAAGTATCTATGTGGATATCTTCAATTAAATAAGGCCGTTGAATGCAAAGACAGTCCGGTGAATTCTGTCCCGTTACTCCTTAAATGCACAATAGCCTGTAGGAAAACGGCTGCGGGGACGCTCGCTATAAATTATTGAAAATAAGATTATTTTAAGTCTGCATAGGGAATAACATTCTGTAGCTAGAAGGAGTGCTTATTGTTTTATACATACACCGATCTGCATTGCATTCTTCAGCCTTATTCTCTCCGCGCGAGATACGACATTTACAATATTCACGCAATGATGCCTGCGTTAGCGTGTGTCTCGTTCCAGTCCGTCAGAGCTCCGCACCGCTCTGACCCCGAGCGGCGAATGACCGGTCCCGGTG